CCCAGCCGCCACTTAATGTGGGCGCTGCCACGTGCTTCATCTGTCCCGCTGTGATTTAATGAAGTCCTAGTTAAGTCAATGACGGACGGCTGGAAAGGAGCCTAGCCTAGAAATTGCATGCTCTGGCGAGGGTTGATGAAGGCCAGCTTGTCACCTCAGGTCCAAAGGCCCCTAAGTCACGTGCAAACAGGTCCGCATGTGAGGACTTGGCCGCAAGGACCGTCCAGGTGCCTAAGGTCTCACTCCACCCAGAGAAACCAACCCTAGAGCTCAGGCTGATTATGCCACCAGACAGTTCTGTCAGAAGGAAGAACCTACTGGGATTTCTCAAAGGGCGGAAAGACTGGTGAAAGTGCTTTAAGTTTAGACACCCGGGGAAGGGATAAATGGCACATGTATGATTTCTCCTTCCAATAAAATTTTCCAATTATCTAACCAAATGTGGATCCCAGTGGCCCCACATAAGAAGATTTCTGAATGTGGGGTCACAGAGCAAACCCACAGAAGGGTGGGTCACAGGCTGGGAGCTGGGGAGTCTGAATAAAAAAGCTCTGCAGGCAGTGGTGGTGGAGAGGGGGGGTCCTAGGCAGACAGCCCCAGGGCCTGGGCTGGGGCCTCCCGGGGCGGAGCTTGGGAAAGAGTCAGGTGCCACAGCAAGGCACCTGAGGAACTGGCTTGGGTTTTATTACTATGTCACAAATTATTTTTTTTTTCTTTGCCTGCAACAATGTGGCAGGCCACCGGAGGTCCTGCTCTCTTCTTAAGAAACGGGTTTTGGGGCTGGGGTGCAGTTCAGTGGTGCCACGGGTGCTTCGTGCTGGGTTCCAGCCTTGTACCAAAAGCAAAACAAAAAAAAATAATAATGGAAAGGAACTGGTTCCAAATTCCACAGCAGACACAGTATCCAATAATGTGAAAGGCATCACTGGGGAAGAGATACCACTGTCCCGCCCCGGGCGAGGTGCTGGCCTCTGTCTCCTTCGGACCTAGTGTGCTGTGATATTCTCTGTGGGTGGTGACTGCTCTTTGGTCCTGTTTCTTACAGATGGCAGTTAGTGCCTTTTTTTCTTTTTAAATATATATTTATTTTAGTTGTAAATATACCTGTATTTTATTTATTTATGTGTGGTGCTGAGACTCGAACCCAGGGCCTCACACATGCTAGGCAAGGGCTCTACCACTCAGCCCCAGCCCCAGCCCCAGCCCCAGAGTTAGTGTCTTTTTAGGAAGGAAGAAACAGACTCACCAGCGAGTCCTGGTCACACCGCAACAGCACAGCACGTGGTAAAGATGGACTCCTAGCCCGGGTCCGCCTGACTCCAGGTTGTCCAAGAATTGCGTGGTTCTGCCTCAGACCCAAGATCTGCCTTATGTCAAAAAAGAAAACTGGAAAAGGGGTAGGTTTGGAGCAGGAGGAGCTTTTGTTTCTTCCTTTAAAACAAGCTGTGAGGAAAATCTGCATTGCCCGTGGGCAGGTATGGCTTTCTAAAACTTTTGAGACCCTTAAGTTATGATTTTGTGTGTGTAAGTATTCTGGGGATGGGAACCAGGACCTCTGGCATGCTAGGTGAGTCCTCTGTCTCTGAGCTACATCCCCAGCCCTTAAAATGTGATGTTGATTATACAGATACTACATGTTCTTAAACCCACTGCAGGAAAGACAAAAAAATAGTATAAAATTTAAAAAGGAAAAATTTAAATCATCCATAAGCCCACTAATCAAAGGTGATTGTTAACATTTTATAGATGCCTTTCTGTAAACCAAAATGAGATCATCCTGTTCATATCATTTTGCAGTTTCCTTTTTTCTTCATTTACTAATATACCCAAAGGACTTAAAAACAGCACACTACAGTGACGCAGCCACATTCATGTTTACAGCAGCTCAATTGGCAAAGGCCAAGCTATGGAAACAACCCAGGTGCCCTCCAACACTTGAATGGATAAAGAAAATGTATATATACACAATGGAATATGACTCATCCATAAAGAAGAATGAAATCATGGTATTTGCCAGCAAATCAATGAAACTAGAGAATATCATGCTAAGTGAAATAAGCCAGTCCCCAAAAACCAAAGGCCAAATGTGGATGCTGACCCAAAAAAGGGAGGTTGGGGAGGGGAATAATAGAAATCCATTGGATTAGACGAAGGTAAATGAAAGGGACAGAGGGGAGGGGAATAGGAAAGGCAATAGAATTCATCCATCATAACTGTTCCAGCCTTACATTTGTATACACCACCAGGGTAACTCCATATCCTGTACAACCACAAGAGTGGGATCCTAAATGAAATAAATATCTATGTATGTATAATCTGCCAAAATCCATTCTACTGTCATGTATACTATAAAGAACAAATAAATCTTTAAAATATAGACATTTACCCAGGTCAATAAATAAGGCGCTCTCCCACGCCTGGCCGTGTGTGTGTGTGTGTGTGTGTGTGTGTGTTTGTGTGTGTGTGTGTTTCTGGGAATTGAATGCAGGGCCTAGTACTTTTTAGGTACTGCTCTACTACTGAGCAACACCCTAGCCCTATATCTTGTTATTTTTTTTATTGTCTATAAGATATCAATAACCAACCGGGCGCAGTGGCACATGCCTATAATCCCAGTGGCTCTGGAGGCTGAGGCAGAAGAATTGCAAGTTCAAAGTTAGTGTCAGCAACTTAGTGAGGCCCTAAGCAGTTTAGAGAGAACCTCTCTCAAACTAAAAAATAAAAAGGGCTGGAATATATATATAAAGCCAATGAAAGATAAAACAAAAAAAAAGGCTGGGGATGAGGCTCAGTGATCAAGTGCCCTTAGGTTCAATCCCTAGTACTATATGCGTATATATTTTTTCAACAATAATCAATAACCATAATGAAAAGATCAATAACTATAATTAGCATTTAATGATAGATCATGTTCATCCTTTTCTCCCATCTCATTCAGAGTCTGTTTTCTCACAGGTAGAGGGATAATTCAGAGGAATTTTTAAAATTAATTTCGGGGATTGAACTCAACCACATCCCCAGACCCATTTTGTATTTTATTTAGAGACAGGGTCTCACTGAGTTGCTTAACCCCTCGCTCTTGCTGAGGCTGGCTTTGAACCCACAATCCTCCTGCCTCAGCCTCCCCAACTGCTGGGATGACAGGCGTGTGTCACTGTGGCCAGCTACTTCAGAGGACTTTTTAACAGATGAAATAAGGCATGTTTGTAAACCGTTGGCACTGTGCCCAACAGTGACTCCGAAGGCTGTTAAGATCAGCTGTCTTCATTCATCTATTCAACAAATAATTTCTACCATTTGTTACATTCAGTGTGCCAAGGGATTATGCTAAGGGTTTATTTAATCCTGATCCCAAACCAATGAGATAAGTAATATCATTATTCCTGTTTTTCACACTAGGAAAGTGAGTGACCAAGGGGCTAATGTCTCATCTAAAGCTACAGAGTCAGCAAATAGTGGATATCCAACCCCCAGAAATTCAGATGCCAAGGTGCATGTTCTCCCCACCTCTGCCTCTGAGAGAGGAAGCTATTCACAGGGCATCTCCTCTGTGCTGGTGCTGGGCTCTTATACCAGGCCCGGTGTATGTTCCCAACTGTGGGCGGGAAGCAAGGCTGTAGCTGGTCCCTCTGCACCATTATGACGACCCAGCCCCAGCTCTTACCATCTAGTGATGTCATTGCACCTGTTTTAATTTTACTGCTACCCAGCTGCTAAGAAATGCCTCTCCTGCTCAGTTGGTCATGGATACTCCCTGGCTCTCCTGGGTTGTCAGAATCTGTCTTCCTCGTGTCT